TGCAGGCAATAAAAACGTAGGGTTCATATAGGAAGAATGCAAGCTTAGTATAAAGTTTTTAAATGTTTCAATCCACTACTGTCAAACCCTACATTTGCTTTTCCGGTGTTAACAACAGAACACCTTTGTTACCTCTCTGATTTCATATTTATTCATGACTGGCATATGTTACCCCACACCAATAGTTTGATGGGTATTTTACATGTGAAAAACACGTAATAAGAAATAATTCTTGTGACTGGTGATGACTACATTAAACAATTTTCATTAATTTGATCTCTTTGGAAATGTAATCGCATTTTCAAAAAATATGAAAACAATATATTGAGTTTTAGTTTCTTCATTATTCTTAATGTACTGCATTACTGATGTTGCCTCATTGACCTTGTCCCCTGAGGTAAGCACTGCTGACACCTTTTTTATTATTTCTCTCATTAATAAACATGTGCCTCCTTCACTAGCCCATGTACTTCTTCCACCATGTAGAGTGGATAAAGTGTCTTTTATCATTCATTTATTATTCATTGACTGTTGATTCTAAGTCTTTCCATGCCATCTTCCTATGAAAAGGCCACTGGAGTGGTTAGTTTCTTAATTTTGTACCCATGCACACCTATTAGCTGTTTGTGTAAGGATTACAGGCTCTGTATGTGGACACTGATAAGTGAAAACACGAAATATTTGTTGTTGCTGTTTTGCCTAGGAGAGAAGTATGTTATTAGTGTAATTTGATAGTAATATTTCATTTTAAAATATGAATGCTGACACAGCACCAGGATGAGGGGAATCCCTATACTTCCCTAAATTCACCGTGTTCTTTATCCCTTTATCAAACTCTCTAACAGGCTGTGCTGTGAGATTTAACGGACACTAGATTACGGGTAACTCCATGGTTAGACACCAACCTACAGTGTAGCTCCACTAAATCTGTTATTCCAGTTAGGAAATGAAAAGGAAAATATTCTCTGTGACCTTTACAGTGTTCTCAGCCACACAGATCCACCAAAGGCAGAGAAAAAGACCTTCCTCTGCCACGTCACCCAGACATGCACTTCCCCTATGCTACATCATTTAAATGCAGATGTCTGTGTAGCATTTACTAAGCTCTCTCTTCTTCTGTTTTAGGCATACAAAAATGGTAAATACAGGGACAGTTTTAAAGTCTCTGAGTGTATCCACTACATAATTGCCATGTTTATCCATAATGATATAGGAAGTGTTCAGTCCAAAAAACCCAGAAAAGCCCAAGGTTAGGAGATAAAACCCTTTGACTATTATAATTTAGTTTCACTGCCTCTGTAATTGCAAAAGTGAAGTCAATGCATTTTCTCTGCCTGATGGGGAAGATACAAAAGTAAAAGGTCAAGGCTTTATCCATCTGTGGTTCTGCCACTGACTTAGTGTATAATCTTGCACAAATCACTTTGAGCTGTTGTGTATCAGGTCCTAACCAGGATAGTTAATGGCATCTTCCTGCTCTGCAAATAGTTTTAGGTCTATGTCTATTCTAGTAGCTAAATAACATTAATCAACATTAATTTATTGAGCAATGCTTTTAAATGCCTTCTGTGTGCTTATTTTTCTGTACTAATGTTTCCAAAACTGTTTTTATTGTCATGACTGTAAAATGTATTTAAAATCCTTATTTTTATTACGTTATTTTCCCACAGCTGGTAGTGAAAAGGGATTTTTTTCCAGCAATGTGTGCTGTTTTCCTCTAAAGCTGGTTTAAGTCAATGACTGAAAAGTCATGCCATCAAAACAATATAAAGGTATAGCTTGAAACTTTAACTTTATTCAGAATTGTTCACAGCTGCATTCATTCAACCCAACTATTTATTCTTTTATTCTCTTTCATGCACTCTACTACTGACTTATTTCCTGCATTATAAATTGGTTTGCAAACCTGTGGGCATGTTCACTGCCCTTTTCACTGACTTAGTAAAAACCTACCACCTGTTCACTCACTCACTCTTGGACAGATCTGCCCTCGGTCTCAGACCTGGCTTCTGAGACAGTTTTGGTCTCCTCTCATTCCTTACTCTGCTCCTGTATCATGTACCCTGTAGCTAATTTGTTCCTGAGGTTAGTTAACGACTGAGGGTTTAAGAGCACCGTCAGTTGTTACAGCTTTCTTTAACCCCTTTTTCTTGCTTAATTGCTCATTTTTTTTTCCTGCCAGAGATTTGATACAGCTTGCCTAGACTTAAAATACCCGTGTGTATATTCAACCTCAACACATTGTCTGAAGTAAGTGTACTAGGACTGAGGCAGTCTTTACATATTGCTACTTTGCGGAAAGCGTTACAAGTCCTTTTGAAGATTAGAGTTTATTATGCTTATAGTAGAGGTTTTTAAAAGCATGTTTCCTCCATGTCCTTGGAATACTCACTATGGAATTGATGTGGACATGTATTAATAACTGTTCATTATATGATCTCATTGCCACAGCATGCAGTATTTGGAAGATTATTATCTTTTTTAGAAAAACAAAATCAGTTATAATTACTGTGAGGACCAGTGTCTTTAGCCCTACACCACTAGCTCACATACAACCTAGACTAATATTACAGGCCTCTGGAAAACTTTTCAAATTTGTGTCAGAGGCCATTTGTTTTACAGTCCTGTGAAAGACATGACTTATAACTGGAACCAAAAGGAATTTTCAGTGGTGGAATTTATGGTACTAGCTGTATGTTCCCAACACTATTATTACTAGTGTTTTCTTTTTGTCATCAAATCCCATTTGGTAATATATTATACTTGAAAGAAGGTTCTAAATGTGACTGAGAATCTGCCATGTGAAAAGGTACAAATATCAATTCCTTCAAGTCTGCAAGACTCTCCAAGTTTTGCTGAGAACGGAGATTGAAAACTACATTATACAAATTAACAATTTAATTCTTAAGACGTCAAGACATCTAACCTGGATAGAGTCAGAAAGAATGGAAATTTTATCTTGGTGCTAGTCTTTGGTCCAGTTCCCTTGTGCCACTCCAGATTTTTGGAAATGTGTGCAAACTGCAGGCTCCCTGGGGAAACATGACAAAATTCCTGTGATTTTTGTACTCAGAGCTAAGAACTGCCCAAGCCCTAGATTTTGTTAATGATTAAAAAAACATCTTTGTTTCTTCACTTGGAATATCATTTCACAGTCATATCCCTCAGGAGTTGCATAGTTTTGTCTATACAAGAGGGTTTTGCTAGTGTATTAATACCAGCAGTCAGCCCCAGTGGAGATGCAGGCTAATCTTCTGATAGTATAAATTATAGCAACTGCCCAAATATAATATGATGAGGATTTTTTATCATGCTGCTGTATTTGCAGCAAGAATTTTCTGGCTCATCTGATCCTTTGTTATGGCCCTGTAAGACTTAGGTTAAATTATCAGAACTGGTTTTCCACCTTCCTTCCTGGCAGACCATGGCTTCTCAGCCCCTCCTGCTCCCCACTGCTGTTGTCCCCCAGAGCTGGGTATGACTTTCTTCCCCATGCTTAATATACAATGTTTTGATAGCATTATGACCTTATTTGATGTCAATGGTGTGATGAACACTGGTTACCCCATGTCAAGCTAGACTGAGTTAAACCACCATTTTGAAAATGTAATGCAGGAAAACTGATTTCCCACTGTTTTCCACACAACAGACTGTTTGCTGGCTATGCTAATACCCGCCTTCATACTCTACCATTTCATAGACCCTGAAATATCAAGGATGCTTTGCATCTAAACTTCCTTCATCTAAGGTTATCATTATGTTCCTATGTCTTTAAGAGGCTCGATTTCCTCTATCATTTCTTCTTGACAGTACTCCTTACCTACGGCTAATGTGAATTATTAGAGATTGACTAGCATGTTATTGTAAAAATACAATGTTGTGTAATGCTGGAATTTAAAGGTCAGACAGTAAAGCAAGTGCCAGTACCTAATGAACTAAATGTTTTGTTCGGTCTTGCTTCAATGACTGTTGCTAACCAAGCTATGGCAATCTCATGACACTGGTATCACCTGTTCCACAGCAATAAAAAAACCCAAAGCAAACCCCAATCCAAACCCCGACACCCATGTGTTGGTCCATGTCATTCATCTGAACAGTCACACCAGCGTGCACGGACATGATGGTAATCAATAACTCATCAGTGACTCAGCAGAAGGATCGCGGGTGAGATCTGTGCATTTACTGACCTATTTTCTGTCCTCCTATATACCGCCAAGCAGTCACCTAAGCCAACCTATGCTTTAAGGTGCAATAATTCCAGTAACGTTTGCTTTCGACACGAGTTATTCCATTCCCATGCTGCCGAGAGGCTGGATCCCAGGTGCGGTTTTCCCTGTGCTCTGCGGCGAGCGGATCCTGGCCGAGACGAACAGGCGGAGGAGGAGCAGCGGAACGCGACAAGTGGCACTAGGTGCGAGGAGCTGCGGCGGCTCTCGCACGGCCCGGCTGAACTGCGGGACACCGCACCTGCTTTCGGCAGAGGCGCCTCGGTGCCTTGCCAAGCCACGCAGCGCCAGGTGGCGCGGGAGGAGCCGCTCCGCCGGCGCCGTGACCGGGCTAATGTCACCCGGCGCCGTTGCTGCTCCGGCCGCCCCACGGGGCCGCTGCCGTTAACGGAGCTGCGGCGGGTGCGGGGAAAGGGACGAGCATCACCGAGGAGAAGGCGGCCCAGCACCCCTGCCGGACCCCCGGGAGCGAGAGCCGGGTCCGCCCCCAGCGCCGCTCGGCCGCCATACTGCGGGGCAACCCAAACTTGTTACACACGGGCACCAACTCCTCCTCCTACGCCTGCCCTTCCCGCCGCCCTGCCCCCGCCGCCGCAGGAGGAGGGGGCTGCGCCGGCCCAACCCCAGCCGCGGGGACGGCGCCGAGGCGGGCGGGGGCCGCGCGAGGGGAGCGCCGCAGCCCCCCGCAGGTAGGAGCGCCCGGCGGGGCGGGCTGTGCGCCGGCCGGGGGAGGAGGAGACGGCGGCGGGGGGCGGGCAGCGGGCGGAGGGAGCAGGAGGCGGCGGCGAGGGAGCGGTCGGCACTGGGGCAGCGACCGTCCGTGCCCGCCGCGCCTTCTCCCGCCGAGGTGGGTGCGGGGCTGGGGCACCCGGCGTGGGGGTGGGCGGCTGGGCCGCACCTACGGAGCGCAGTCGGTCCTGCCGCCTGACGGGGCCCGGGCCGCCGCTGGGTTCGGGTGGGGGACGAGGGCGCTGGCAGCCCCCACCCGCGACTCGGCCGGAGCGAGACGGAGAGGAGGAGCCTGCAGCAGCAGCAAATGAGCGAGGGCTGCCAGGTTTATAAATCTGATTTTCCTCCCACCGCTGCCGAGCCCCGCTGAGTCCGGCGGGAGCGAGCGCCCGCCCGCCGGCTGCGGCTCCGCCAGGTGCGTGCCCGGGGCGGCGGTCGGGCCCCTGCCGCCCGTGCTGACCGCACCTGCCCTGGAGACGGGGGCTGGGGGCGCGCCCGAGGGTGCTGAGGACAGATGAGAGGCGCTTTCGCCCGGTTGAGAAGCGGTCGGTTTCCAAGGGCCAGCAGCCCAGGTTGCCAGGAGTGTGTCCGGGCGCTTCGGGGAGGCCGCTGTCTGCTGGGAGCCGGCGTCCCGCATTCAGCGAAGGGCAGGACGCGGTGCTGGGTGTTTGCTGTCGGGTGACCGGCTGCATGTATTCTGAAGAGCTGTTAAGTGCTGTCTTATTTTTCAGCTGTCAGGAGAGTTTAAATCAGGTCTCCACAGAGGTGCGAGTTTATAGGGTGCTGGTGAAGAGAGAGTTTTCTGTCCCCGTTTGCCCCTCAGCTAATTCTGAGGGGATATCTTCACCGCTTCCCGGAGGTGCGGGTTGTTGCATGGTATTTTCCGCGTATACAAAACTACGCATCATGGGCGCTTAAGGGAGAAGGATTGAGTGGATGACTGCAGCCGTGGTAACTTCTTTGTTGCAGCTCCTTTCTATTACGTGACTGCCTTTAGCAGGGAGGGGAACAGGAGCTTGATCGCTGCCCTGGTGTGGGAGGGAACCTGATGGATCTGTTGGTTGAAGGGATTTTTCAAGTCTGCTTTTTGGTTTAATGCTGAAGCATTTTCCTATCTTCGTTCATGTCTTTATTATCATGTACCTCTTGTGGGGAGTTAGTTCGGCTGAAAAATGTGAAACATCACGTTTTAAGTTTATAGCACCCAGGTGCTTCTAGTAGCTCTGGAAATCAGTGTAATAATAAAGCCTATTTTTTAAAGAAAATTCCTACAGTAATTAGCACACGGCTGCTGGCTGCTTTGTGCCCATCAGGCTCAGAAATAGCTACTGATGTCATACTCCCTTTTGGATACCTGTATGGAGGTTTTGTTAGAGAACTGTTTAATGACTTCTTTTATTAGAAAGAGTGCGAGCTCAGGCAGTTACGCAAGTGCGCCTAAAGGAAGCTGTGCTGGCTGCATGGATGGCGAGTGTGGAGGCCGAGCCGGAGTGGGAGTATCGTTTACAAACTGAGTTAGAAAGGAGCATTGTAAGAGAGACCCGAGTGGCTCCTGTCGGGTGAAACACTGTACGTACCCTGTTCCCTGCTGTGCGGGGAAGAGCCTTAGTACAGTGTGCTGCCTGGGATGAGCAGGCTATGTATGGATGGCCACTCACCATTCTTTCCGGTAGCAGAGATGAGGTGTAGGTGACTTTTTTCCACTGGAAGCGAATGAGTGGCATGGGAATGTGTTACTGCATGTATATTCTTAGAGGGAGAAAAAAAAAAAAAAAGGCTTTGTAAATGGGGAGCTGGTTTGACTGATGAAGTCTGTCTTTACTATGATCTCTTAGCTTGCAGAGGAAGTATTTTACCATCTCTTCCTCCTCTCCTGAAGCAATTACTTTATACACCTTTTTCGATGGTCAAGGATTGCTACAGAGTCTGCTGACAAAAGCTGCTTGCATTCATACCTACCAAAATATGTCTATAGTTATTCTTTAAATTTCTTGCCTTTTTTAATTTTTCTTTTTTTATATAAGAAACAAAAGCCATTGTAGTTAGTGGGGAGGGAGGTAGCTACTTCCACAACAAATGAAGTGTTTGATGCTAACTGTTCTATTTCAAAACTGTAACACTGATTCATAGGTTTTTCTGGACACTCTAAGTACAGGTGTGCCTACAGATTTAATACATTGTGTTGCCATCTCTTTGCTAGTATAATGATTCAGTCCCCTCTCCTCCCCCCATCCCAGTCCCTGCATAAACAGCTATTACACTGAACACTTGATAACCTTTTTTGTTAACCTTGTGTGGATACAGCAATACCCTGCCAAAATATGTGTATTTATATCACTTAAAGGTCCTGCAGGAAGGACCTCTGGTTGTCCTGGCACATCCCATATTGGCCTGCCTCGTGAGTAGCTGAGCTTCAGAGTTCTCTGCTTCACGCAGCCTTTTGCTGGGGAGGAGCTGGAGAACTTGAGAGGATCTGTCATCTGCTGAGGGCCACTTGGGTGGAGTTGAAATCTGCACTGTGCTTGCTCTGCAGTGCACTCCTGCCCTCTCTCCCAGCTGTCTTAGGGGGTGTGTGCCAAATGAATCTTTTCGTTTTAAAATACATTTTCTTAGCCGTTTTCTTGCAGTAAGGCAAGTGGGAGGTCTCTTTCAATCATGTCAAAATTAATTCTTGTGCTGAGATGCTAGCATTAGATGTAATACTTGCATATGCCACCTAGTTTGCAAAAGGTGTTGGATAAGTTGATAGGTGGTTGTGCCATAATCTGATTTTTAAAAATGTAAATTAGTTGAAAAGCAGTTTCTTAAGGTATATGACCATGAAAGCATTCATGAATGGGTGGTGATCTGTTATGTTTCTTATTAAACTAAAAATCAAGTACTTGTAGATGTGACTGAGACAATGTTTCACAGTGTTTTAAATTCTGGGTAGCATGTGAGAATAATGTTGAAGATTTAAAGATGACAACAAAAACAAGTAAAGCAGATAGTAAACTTTCATTGTGATAATATTAAACAGTTTGGTGGGAGAGTGTTCTCTGTTATGCCATGTACTCAGTTGCTGTTGGCCATGTTAATTAACTGAAGAAAGGTATGCTCAGTTGGGAACCTGCATAATAAACAAGAAGCTGGGAAGTGTTTTTGGCTTTTTGTTTGGTTGCTCTTTCTCTCAAGTTTTCTGCCTCCTTTTTTCTAACTAGTCATTTCTCTGATGATAAAGCAGTGTTTTATAAGGCCTTCATCTGGCTTTGCATAGCAGTCTTGTGCTTGAGTGTCTAGGTAGATAGATAAAAGAAGCATATTGAAAAGAATGATAGAAGTCCCCCTTTACTTGTGCCTTGAGTTTTGGAAGCTGAAGTGGCTGAAGAGTAGCTTTTCAGCAGAGCATACAACTGGTTGAGTAGCAAAAAGAGCTTGGGAAAACCAAAAGGCACTGCTGCAGTTTCCATTTGCAGTTAACTTGACTGTGTTTTGGTATAGCTGTGCAGGCTAGATGTGGAAGCTGTTTTGTTTCCCTTCTGATACGAGGGTTTTGTCCTTGTTTCTCAGATGAATTAATGAAAGGATCCAAAAATTACTTAGAATGTTCCCATAGCTCTTCAGCTATAAAGGAAAAAGCAGAACTTCCTATTTCAGACTAATGTGTACTGTCATCTTGGATTGGGAAGTTACAGATCTTGCTGTCCAGAACTGGATTAATGAGGTCTTACATTTAATTGTATTTTGGCCAAAAAGCTTTCATAGTCTTTTATTTGCCCGTAAAGTTCCAGGAATGCAAAGTCCTGTTTGGCTTCTGGAGGTGTTGCTGTAGCTTGCCTTCACCATGAGGGAGGATACTGCAGTAAGTTTGTTGAGCTCCGCTTCTAGCCAAGAGTGTCCAAGAGCTGCTCTGTTTCCTCCTGCTCCCTGTAACACCAAGTTGTAGTGCAGCAAGCTTCTGGGTATGTTAGTGTTTCTGAAAGCAAAATTAATAAATGCACCAGAAGTTCCTTCTACTAGGTGTAGGGCTTTCTCTTTTTTTATGGTGGAATTGAGGATGAAAAAAACAATTGTATTGAATGGAGGAGCATGAATGTTGTTTTCAGTACTGTAACTCTTGAGACTTTAGACACGTAAGTCTTTTAAAGCACCAAACAGCAGCCTTTACTTCAAGACTTTGTTGTTCTGTACTGAGGGGGCCGGTTCTTGTGGCCTGTGGGGGGAAACAAAACAGATGGTAAAATAAAAAAAACCTGTAAACAGATAAAAAATAATAATCATCTGTAGATGTCAGCAGATAAGGAACTTAGGAATCTTTGTAAAGACTGTACATATAGTTAATTGAAGACAGTGTATGAAGTTTAGAACCAAGTTTGTTGGTACAAGAAATAGCGGACACACTTTTTTTGTCTTTCTCTGCTCATCCGCCTATTTCTTTTTGTCTCTGTTCATGTACAGCAGTGAGCTCATAATCCACTAGGCATTTTCTGGATTGATCCTCTTAAAAAATTAGTATTAGCCTATATATGAGGCAGGCTAAAGAGGATTGAACACTGCTGCAAAATTAGTACCTGTTGGCCTCATTGCAAGGACAGGCAGGTTCCCTGTTTCTTGCACAGAGCCTGGTTGTGGCTCTGTGCAAGAAACAGAAACCCTGTTTCTCTGCAGGGTTGTACAGGCTGAGCAGATGTGTAGGTGATAGAGCACTGGTATGGAAGTGACTTGGAAATATATGGAATTAGCAGACTGGAAAACTGTGATATCTTAGTGCATCTGATTGCTTAGCTGGGAGACAGAAAAGAATATGCAAAGCAGGGGAAGGTTATGGAAATGGCCAGTTCTACTGGGAAAGCAAGGAGGAGAGGAAAAACTTTTACAGACTTGGTTAGCTCTTTGCTGGTGTGCAGCAGAGAGACCAAAGGTTGTCTGGAAGCTAAAGCAGGTCTGACAGAACTGCAGCAAGGCAAGACAAGTGGGGGCGGCTGGTGTTCCCTGTGCCTGAGTAAAACCTCAAGGTCCACAAAGATTTGCATGCATTGCAAATGGCAAAGCCAAGGAGTTGGGGGGAAAAATGCATGAATTGTGGTTATATACAAAGTATGTATATATATATATATATATATATATATATAAATGTAT